TTCCTACCCTCACTCACCTATGGTCAAACTCTGGATAGTGACCAAATGAACGAGATCGTGAATGCAGGCGATTGAAATTAGTTTCCTCCACAGGGTAGATGAACTCTCCCTTAGAGATAGGGTGAGAAGTTCAGTTATCAGGAGAGACTCGGAAAATAACCGCTGCTCCTCCACATGGAGAGGAGCCAGTTGAGGTGGTTCAGGCATCTGGTAAGGATGCCCCATGGGCGCCTCCCTCGTGAGGTGCTTCAGGCATGTTCGATTGGGAGGAGACTCCAAGGAAGACCCAGGACACGCTGGAGAGACTGTCTCTCGGTTGGCCTTGGAGTCCTTCTGGAAGAGGTGGCTGTGGAAAGAGATGTCTGGGCCTCCCTGCTCAAGCTGCTGCTCCACGATCTGAAAACAAAAGCTGTTTTTTCGTAGAAATCCTTGCACATTTGTCTGATTGTTCCTGCCAGCTGACCTTTGGATACCTAGTTAAGTATTCATCAGCTTTCAGTGTTGCTGTTGCTTTAATGAAGCATGGGTTAATTACTTGTCTCACTCACACACAGCTTCACTCGTGCAGAAACATTCAGCTAAATGATAAAAAGTGTAAATGCAGTCATTGTTTTGCCTGCACTATAAACATTAGTGTTTAACTTTTGCCCTTTTAACACCAATGTGTCACTTTAAACACTTCTTTATGGGAATGCAGAGCACAGGGAAATGTATGAGTCATTTGATCATATCTTGGGATTAAATATAGTCGAAGGCTTTAAAAGCTGAGTGCTAACAGAGATTAGAGTGCTTTCATGAGTGCTTTGGAGGCCTTCCCTGTGACTAAACTGATCCTTGTTGGCTTTGAGCTCATTTCTCCATCGTGACGGCAAGGTCACACCTAAAAACGTGTTCTCTTTGCATGCAGCCTTAAAAAGTATGAAATTTGCTTGCAGTGTTTTCCCAGCTGTAAATAACTATGGAAATTCATGTTGTGTTTTTCAACACTCATCTTGCAATTCTATTTTCCTACAAGATGAAACTAAAATAAATCTGAATACCCAACATTAAAACTGTGCTCAAAACTGCTAATTTATTTGTTTCACAACAAAATTAATCTTGGGGCAATATACAAAAGAAGAAGAAGAAGAAAAAAGGCCAAATCATGAATTCAATTCACTTTATTTATATAGCACCAAGTCACAACATAAGTTATCTCAGGGCACTGAAAAGAAACATTCACATACTGTACATTATAAATGCCAAATAGTAAAGTCTAAGGAAGCCAGCAGGTCGCATTGAGTCTTCATTTAGTCACAGTCTCCCATCCTGAGCAAGCACAGAGGCAACAGTGGAAAGGAAAAACTCCCTTTTAATAGGAAGAAACCTCCAGCAGAACCAGGCTCAGGATAAGTGGCCGTCTGCTTTGACCGGTTGGGTTTGAGAGGACAGGAAGGAGAAACAGACACACAATGGCAGGTCCAGAATGGTGGCGAGCAGATCTTTCTATAGTAGGAAAGAAAAAAATAAACTTGTTGATAGAAATAATTACAATTACAAATTAAACATTTGTATTCATTTGATGAAATGAGGTCAATTTGTCCTCCAGTAGGCTAAGCTTATAGCAGCATAACTAAGGGATAGGTCAGAAAACCCAAGCCAACCCTAACTATAGGATTTATCAAAAGGAGAGTCTTAATCCCAGTCTTAAAACTGGACAATGTGTCAGCCTCACGGACAGAAACTGGAAGTTGGTTCCACAAGAGAGGAGCCTGATAACTGAAAGATCTGCCTCCCATTCTGCTTTTGGGAACTCTAGGAACCACAAGTAAACCTGCTGTCTGAGAGTGAAGTGCTCTGTGAGGAAAATATGGAACAATAAGATCTGTAATATAAGATGGAGCTAGGTTGTTGAGAGCTTTGTAGGTTAGAAGTAAGATTTTGAATTCTATTCTGGATTTGACAGGGAACCAATGGAGAGAAGCTAAAACTGGAGAGATATGATCTCTCCCAGTAACTCCAGTTAAGACTCTGGCAGCAGCATTTTGGATCAACTGAAGACGTTTTAAAGAAGTATCCGGGCACCCAGATAATAAACCATTGCAATAGTCCAGTCTAGACGTAACAAATGCATGAACCAGTTTTTCTGCATCATTTTTAGATCAGACGTTTCTAATTTTACTGATATTAAGCAGATGGAAGAAGGCGGTTCTAGTAACGTTCTGGTAACGTTCTGGTAACGTCCAGCAGAACCAGCTCAGGACAGGCAGCCATCTTCCTCCACTGGCTGGGTTTTGAGGGGAAAGCAAAAGGCTTCAGGATTGGTCCAGGTGTAGTTTCTAAAGGAAGAAAAACAAAGAAAATCACAAGTGAATTGGCAGCAACAACTGCAAATACAAACGTGGAGAGTAGAGCGAGTAAAAACAGCAGACTGAAGATGTGGTCAGTGTTGAAGTATGATCTCTTTTTCTAACGCTCTTCACAACTCTGGCAACAACATTTTGAATTATCTGAGGGTTTTTATCGTTTTTTTTGGACATCAATATAACAAAGAATGACAATAATCCAGACTTAAAGTGATAATCTGCTTAGATAAGTAATCTTGTATTTAAAAGTAGGGCTGAACAGTTAATTCCATTTTCAATAATATTGCGATATGATTAAACAAGATTTTCTAATGGCGAAGGCTGCAATTTGGCTGGTCACGTGACTTGCGAGTGAGCAGAGCAGGGAGCGGGTGAAGTCAACATCGCGCTTTAACCGGTTGCACAATGGCGTCAAGCTCGACAGAAGCTGATACATCTGAAAGTTTGGCACCAAAGAGGGGCAGCACGTCCGTTGTTATTAATTACGTAACTATTTTGGCTATGAAAATGAAGACGCGGTGCAACGACATGTATTGTGCAGAACCACCACAAATCTTTATCAACACTTAAAAAAGCACCACAAAGTCATTTGCGATAGTTGCATGACTAGAACGCCAACGACCAGTGCTTCAACTTAAAGTAAGCAAAGTACGAGTCGACAGGGATCACTTATCGAACTGTTGGAAGGTATTACTCCGTATGAACATAATTCAAAACGGTACATGGAAATAACTCTAGCAATAACGGAGTTCATAGAGGAAAAACACGATGCCCATTAATATAGTGACCAAGCCTCGGTTTACAGCTTCGGTAAACACAGTGGATAAGCGATACAGAATGCCCTCGCACACATTTTAGCCAAGTTGCTATCCCAGAGCTAAATAAAGCAAGCAGAAAGAGTTGCAGCGGAGCTGAAAACTGTGGAGTTTTTTTGCAACTGAAACAGATTTATTGCTTGTGTCCATTGAAAAATACATGAGAAGACATTGAAAAATAATCGCATATTAAATCGCAATTGCAATATTGAGGTAAAAAAAAAAAAAAACACAATTAGAATATTTTCCAAAATCTTTCAGCCCTATTTAAAAGTGCTTTTCACATTTCATTTATAAAATACAGAATCTCCAAGTTACTTCTAAGGCAGCACTGAATAAGAAACAGCACTTTATAAATAGGGATGCACCGATCCACTTTTTCTACTTCCGATACCAATATCTGAGGATCTGTATCGGTCAATACCGATCTGATACCGATCTAATACAGGAAAACAGCACTGGATTCTGTTCAACAAAGTCAGTGTGCTCTTTAGAGTGAAATATCTGGAGATGCTTGATTAAGTTGGTAGTGTTAGAACTGGAAGTTTTAGTGACAGCCCCTGGAACTGTTGCTGTGCACGTATTGCACGTAGCTGTCGAATGTGTTGGCTGAGGTAGTGTGAAATTAAATGGCTGATCCTTTGCTCGCTCCATTTTAAAAACGATCTGTGCGGTGACTTCAATAGCGCATGACGTCACTCAGAGCACAAAGCGTAGAGTTAGAGTAAATAGATCTGCCCAGTCATGTATCGGTCACGTTGTCACGATACCCGATCCAGAAGATTTTTTTATATCGGGACCGATACCGATATTGGTATCGGATCAGTGCATCTCTATTTATAAAGCCAAAATAATAGTTAAAATATGTCCAAATGCACGTACGTCTACATCTAAAATCCACTTTCTGTGGAGGTTTACTGCGGCAGCGGCTAACTCCGATAATAAAACGTTTGTCCATTTCAGTGACTTCAGTGCTGGATGCTGATTTTAATGTTCAGTTATCTCTGATTGTAATTTCTAAGACCTTTGTGTGTAATAATGTGTGTAGTAATTAGTGAGCTCTGGAGAGGCAGAAGCCATCATTAGCACAACTGGGCTTTCGAAACCTAATCCCGCACTTCAACTTTGTGAAATTGTGGTCGTTTAAAAACAGTTAGGGGTGAATGTAACCTTACAATTGGGCTAATTGATTGAACCATTTTTAAGCTCAAACCAGGAGCGTTTGGTTGTTAATGCAGCATAGGCGGGAATAAAACATAAAAAATATTTTTTTTGACTGCCGTTCAATGAACTGACGTGAAAACTTTTATTTATCGCTGTCTTGTTTTCACTTTGTCACTTACCAGTGCGGTTTGCTTTCTGCACGCAGTGAAGGTCACACCCTTCAGAAAAATCACAGCTCCAAATTCTGTCATTTTTCTCTATTTTATTTTCCTCGTGTTGTCCCTGAACATTGTTTAAGGCTTACTTAAACCCTGATAGGATTGCTACAATACCTGCCTATCAATCTCGAAGAGGAAAAAACGTCCATTTTCCCTGCTGAACTTCTACCAACGTTGGTTTGAGGAGGATAGCGGGCTCCTTATCTGTCAGTTGGAGTGTTTTGATGTGTTTTGGCAACGTTGTTTGTGACTGATGGGGTCCCTCGGTTGAATACATCGTCCTGTTTTGCTGCTGAAGTGATGGAGCGAGGAGTGACGGCCTGACAGATGGAACACAAAGTTTCGACTGGCTATTTTTCTACCTGGGACCGAGTTATGTGTGTGTGTGTGTGTGTGCTGCGATGAAGCGTTTTGTAACCCTCTCTCGTTCTGTGTGTCTGTGTTTGTTTGTGTATCAGGCCTTTCCCATCTGAGGACACAGCTCTGAATGAAGATGATGTGTACCGGAGCCTGGAGGAGTTGGCTGAGTAAGTGTGCATTCTACTAAAAAAAACACCCACATCATTTATCTGGAGGCCTTTCGCCCTAATCTTAGCATTTTTCAAATCTTTACCAAAAACATCAGAAGCCTAAAGGGAAATTAATTACCCTTAGTTTAACTTTGTTTACTCCCACTGAAACAACTGCACGGATAACGCTTTCTTATAAAGCCGTAGTTTTAATCTTTTAAAGTGGGGTCTGTGGAGCAGTGATGAACAAATAATCAATTAATCCTTTTTTTTTATTTATTATTATTTGTGCCAAAACATCCAAACAATTAGAAGCAACAATTAAAAATCAATTAATTAAAATATTAAATCAAAAGGAAAAAGATGATCACCTAAAAGCTGCATTTAAAAGATGTGAGTTAAGATTATTGCTGGGAGTTGAGGGTCTGATTAAAGGCTATCTTACCTGTTGTAGATGACTTTGATTGGACTGACAAGCTAGTGGTTAGTTTGACGGCAGAGAATACCAAAGTGGGTTGGAGCGGTCCTAAAACAATTTTAACCTCCAAAATGTCAAACCAATTCATGCAAAACCTATTTTATAAGCCTTTGCCATAAAATACACAATACACATAAAATATATAGTTAATTATAACAACAGAACATGACAGCAGCAGCTAGCTGTAGCACTTTTCGTTGGAAAATAGTTTACACTGAACCACTTGGGAGGGTTTTGTATTTTTTGGTCTTGGCCCTTTTTAGACTAGCCGTTAGCTTGTCAGATGGACCACTCTGTTTCTCCAAACCAGTGGTTCCCAACCCTGGTCCTTGAGGAACACCACCCTGCATGTTTTAGTTGTTTCCCTGTTTTTGACACAGCTGACTTTAATACATGGGTGTTAGGCTTCTGGAGTAATTAATTCACTGAACTGGGTGTGTTGGAGCAGGGAAACAACTAAAACATGCATGATGGCGTTCCTCAGGGACCTGAGTTAGGATCCACTGCTCTAAACTAAGTTTGTTCAAACGGCACAAAAAGTAAGATAGTTGTTCACGCCATTCAAAATAAAATATCTGAAAGATTCCTTTAGGACACATAAGAATTAAATAAAAGATCTTTATAAAACCACTTTTCGTGCCAGCTGTATAATAATATAGCTGTAAAATTTGTCAAAACTACAAACAAATGAACTTGATAAAAAAAATATATAAAGAGCTTCTGAATATGTCAGAGCTCCTTTGCACATGTTTGCACAACTTGTGATGTTTAGGAGAACGCTGTGGTTGTCACTTCTTCCAATATCTGCTAATTACTTAATTACATAAGCAGCAAGGCATATATCAGTCTGCCTGTTGCCACGGTAACGCCAGCACTGCTCTGGGTTTAGACTTGGCTGCCTTTCTGACTGCCTCTGTGGCTGGCTGCCTGGCTTTTTGCTGAATGTATCTGGGTTTTGCTGTGTGTAAAAGAGAATCCTAATTTCAAGGGGGGGTGACAGCAGTGACAGCAGCTGCTTGACTCAGATTAATGAAGAATAATTAGTTAACCGCTTTGAGATGGGTGTCATTCATCATGGAGGGACAGGACGGAGACGAGCACGGGGTGGAAAGAAGATCACGTGAGCTGCAGCTCTATGCCTCCTGAAAACATGATTGTGATGTTCCTGTGGTGAATGAGGCGTGCAAGGGGAGGGAGCCAAGCAGGCTAATACAGGATTAGAGTCCAAATACTGTATGCATGCACGTTTGTTGGAAAATATGTCCCAAATTAGTCTCCTTTTCAAAACTGTAATCAAATCTGAGCACACAGGCAGGGTGTACATGTATTTACTTTTACATTTGAAGATAAATATGCCTAGCTAACTACGTAAATCATGACCTGACTTTTCTCTTTGATGTATAATTGGAGACTGCTTTTTATATATAGCAAAGTAGTTTGAAAACCAGAAAACATACAGAAGCTGGAGCATTTCCTTTATTCTTGGCATGGTCAGTGTTTTGTAAACCCCCCATTGGCATGAGTCACCACTAGTCTGTTTTTCATACGCCAAGATGCTTTCAGGTTTTATTTCGTCTATTCTTCCTGTTAAAAACATCTAGTGCTGTGCCACTCTTTGGGCGCTGTACCAATATGTCTCTTTTTAAAGTTTGTCCAATGAACGTTTTATAAATAGATTGTGTTAGAACTTTCAGATAGTCCCTTGTGATGCGGTTCATTTTAAGTTTTGGCTAGTATTTAGTTAAAAGCATTCGTCCATTTACATTAGCAATGTTTCCTGTGTCACTGGCTGCAAGCTTGTTATGATTACCGTAATTTACAGACTATTGCGTGCACCTGAGTATAAGCCACGCCCCCCTCCCTGGGTGCACAGCAGGGAGGGATGAGGGAACGAGGAGGCTTTCCAGTGGACCAATGAAATTTAGTTTTACTGTGACCTGGATGGTAATTTCATTGGTCTCTTTTTTTTTTTTTTACCTTAATTTATACAGGTAGTGTCATTGTGTCATGAGGACCCACCCCCAATGTGTATTGGACAGCTATATGAGCACCTGGGTGTGACGAGGCTAAATGTTTTGGCAGCATTAAGCTCGTTAGCCCATCCCCCAAAAAATCCATAAATTAGTCGCAGCATTGTATTAGCCGTGGTGCTCAAAGCATGTGAAAAAAGTAACGGCTTATAGTCCGAATATTACAGTATTCTACCCCCCATGCTTAACAGTTGTTTGCGTCATCAGTTTATAGTTGTTTCCAAACTGTCAAGTTATTTTAGTATTTTACTCAAAAGCATTTGTGCTGAGGATTTATAGAAAAAAAAACTCCAACTCCTCATTCTTGTGCAGGTTTTGTATGGAAGTAAATATGTGTCGCTACAATTTGAATTAAAAATGCCACTGAAATTTTAATGTTGCATATTTGAATTTAATTTTTCAGTATTACAATATATTCAGAATAAGGTGAGTTTAATGTTTTAGTTTTTCTCTATTATGGTTTATGTAGTATCGAACTTGATGTGCAAAAAAAAAAAAAAACACTACAGATAAATTTAAACATTAAACTCACCGTTGAGTTAGCGTTAACTTCCATGACAGGCTGGTTTCCTTCAAAATCAGCGCAACAAGCGTAACGTCACGTGACTGAGAGCGGATGTGGGTGTTGGATTCTGACATCCTTTGCTAATGTCTGTGACCTGAAGTAACCCTGCGTTATTTACACCGAGTTTTTAGACGCTGAATTTCAGACAGCGAAATAAAGCCAGTTAAATCTCAGGAGAATTTTGAAAGGTTGAATTTTTTTTTATGTGACTTTTTTTTTTTTACACTGAAAAGTTAAACTCGAAAAACAGCTTTTGAAAACGTGATCACTTTGAAATAATGTGAATTTTTAGCTTGAAGTGAAAATAAAAAATTTAATTTCATACATATAAATAATGACAGTGATTTTTTTTTTCAGGTTAAAATGTATTCTGAATATATTTTAACGCTGAAAAATTAAATACAAACATGCAACATTAAAATTTCAGCTGCATTTTTAATTCAAATCCTTGCGGCACATATTTACTTCCATAGTTTTGCTGCATCTTTCTCTAAGATTTTTTGTTGCCATCAAATGCTGTTTCTATATTTTTTTATGATACACTTGTTAAAACATGACCATACAGTCTCTGTCCAAAAGTTCGTTAACCTTTTCTTCTCCGGACCAAATCTTCTGGTCCACTCAAGATAATTAAATGAAACTTCATGCACTTATGCATCACCCCCAGCTTCAAAATCAAGGTCACAAACTAAGGTCAACTCTAAAATAAGTTCTTTGCTTCTCCAGGCCATTGCTTTAACGCTGTATAATAGTTTGGCGTTGGGCATACAATGTGCCGTATGCGGTACACTTGTCTTTTACATGAATTTCATCAACACTCGTATTAAAAAGTTTCCCTCTAGAAGACTCCCCCGACCCATTCTATTTTAGAATTATACTTTGATATTGACGTTATTCTTTTAGGTTAACTTGCCATTATTTTAGCACAGTCTTTGTATTGTATTCTGTTTATGGCATGTTTTGGCCAAGAGATACTGGTAATCTTAACCAGTTGTATTGCTGTTATGATTGGGTTTATGATAAAAAAAAAACAATTAAAAATTGAACTTGTTCAATGTAAAAACCAAATATTAATAATAGTATTTGTTAATAACAATACAGACTTAAAGAGCATTCATGAAGAAGTGCTTTGCTGTCCTCATATTGCCTTTGTTTGCTTTGTAACTTTTAGCTATTTGATATGTTTAAAGTACCAGACAGCTGCTTAAAAAATCTCATTTCTACTTACAGACTTGAGCTATAAGATATTCATAAAGCTTTGGAATTAAAATCACTGAACTTTGAGCAACCCACATCTCTAAAAAGACCTAAAACGTCCAAGAACCACGAGTCTCAGACTTTTTGGAGTGGTCATACATTTTTTTTGTCAGTCTTATCTTCTTTTCTAACTTATACTTGCACAAATCAAAAAAATAAATAAATTCAATTCACACTAAAAACGGGTACATTGGTTGCATTAAGTGCATGTATCCATGACAACAAATTTCAGCGAATTGAGCGAGTGTGGTTGTCGTGCTTGCTTTCTTCCATGCTGTGCTTTTTCACATCCAAAATCCATTCTCTCCATTGATTAGAATTGACCTCTGCCACTACGACAGCGGCTTTATTTTACTCAGAAGGTTGAGTTCATCTATTTTGCTTAAATGGTAAGTGATGTCAGAACACTGAGCTCATTGTGTAACCTATACAGTAGGTGCAGAGGGCATGATCGTATTAAATTAATCATGCAGTTCTGCCGTATAAACGTTCTTGACCTTTAACGAGGTGCATTTTGTTTCAGCGGTGGACAGATGCATAATTGATTCATCAGCAGATCCTGCACTTAATAAAGTTGGACACACTTAGCATGTAGGTCATGCTAGCAATAACTCTGCTCTCAAAGGCTAATTAATTAATCTGAAACATTGATGCATGGGTGATTTATGATGAGTGCATGCATAAACTG